AAATCTCCTTTCCGTTTGATTACTGGAGCTTCAGTAGCTTGCGTTTTTTGAGAATTGTAATTGAGTGAGAGAAGAGAGATCTCTTTCCGTTGAGGAAGGAGAGAATTACGCAGCAATTCGAATTTGATGTTGACAGAATCACACGCAGATCTGGTGCCTTCATTTTAGCGCGTTTTATGGCAAAATCTACCTATTTTGGGATTGGTATATAATTTGTAGTAAAAGTGTGGACTACACGGGTAAATAACAAATTATGAACATTTTTGGTAATAAAATTTGATATATGGTATAGATAAGTAAAAATCCCATTTCGAAATTGCTGTACAAGCCCATCATCTAGCTTTTACCAATTAGATGTAAAAAGAAAGTTTTAAAAGACGTAAACTACTTCTATATTACCAAAGTAAACTACTTATATATTACCAAAGCTTTACCAATTAGATGTAAAAAGACGTAAACTAGTATATATTACCAAAGTAACTTAAAAAGAAAGTTTTAAATTTCAATTAGAACTATAGTAGGGTAAAACTGTCTATTTAAAATCAGTGTTTTAAAAGGTGTGGGCGAGAGGTGAGGCGTTTTATTTAATACGAGACGAGGTGAAAGCCCCAAGGCGTGAAGTGTTTTATTTTTTATATTTTATAAATTAAATAAAATCATTATATATATAAGAAAAATACATTAAAATTGTAAAAAGTTTAAGAAACTTATAAAATTAATATGTATGCGCGCATGAATCATACAATTTTTTTTTACTTGAAAAGTAAAGATACATTACACCTATGTCATCAAAGCAATATCTAAACCAGAGCGATACCAAAAGAAATTTTAAATTCAAAAACTAATTTGAAATTAATATATTTAAAAATGCAATTTTTTTTGGTGTGTGGAGAAAACAAAGCATAATGAAGGAAATGCAAGGATGGGAGCAGAGTAAGAATTGGAAGGCAAAACACTTTGCAGATAAAAGTCTAAAGTGTGTTTTTTTCTCCGTATACTAAACAACAAAGAGTAAAAATTATGAAATTGTGATAAAAATTAGAAACAATCTTTGGCTTTTGAGATTCTTTTTTTTTCTTTCCGGTAAACTTCCATTCTATTTTGCCAAAAAAAGATCAATATAATATAGTAATTGCTGACCAGTTCCTTAACTCAGCTTGGCAACTAATTGCTCAACTATAACCTATACAAGGTTTTAATTTCAGCTATAACCTATACACAACCTAACACCTATACAATCTGCACTATAAACAAAAGGGCAGTACATTGGACAAAATAAAGAAATTAAACTTGTCTAAGGATACCAATTCAATGCCTCCAAATGCTTCTGCCATCTGATATATGTATTGCCTCTGATGTGTATATGGCTTGCAATTTCTCTGCACATTCCATCTGGTGATGAGCTTCCACTCTAAAATCTGATCTTGTTCTTATCTCTCCATATGAGGTATACCATCACCCTAAAAACAGCTAAGACAATTGTCCCAAAACCTTTCTTTTGCCTAGCACAGGTTGTCACCCATTTCATCTCTTCCTGCCATGTTCTTATCTGTTTTGGACAACCAAGCCAATTCAGTAACCTTTGCCAGATATTCCTCGTGTATGCACAGCCAAAGAATAAGTGATCAAAGTGTTCATCATCCATGCCACAGAAAACACAAGTTTGGAGAATTTGAATACCAATTTTCTGTAGCCTCTCCACAGTAGGTAATTTCCCCTATACAGCTAGCCATAAGTTGAATTTGTGTCGAGGGTGTATATGAGGTTGTAAGATCAGACATTTCTAGTACACCTTTTGGATCTGAGGAATCTGCAACTTATATAGCTTCTTTATGCTGAATCTTCCATGTGTACTTTGCAATGTCATCAGTCTTGAAGTCAGGTCTCCTTGCAAGGTAGGTGTCTCAAGGATAAGCTTCCTGAGTTCAAGAATTTTCCTCACAACCTAGGCTGCATTCTTGGGTATGGACATAGAATCAATGGTCTGGTTCTTGATGTAGTAAGCATGGATCCACCTGATCCAAAGGCAATCCTTCTTCTTGGTGATAGCCCATAAGTATTTCGCCACTGTTGCTTTGTTCCAGTTGTACAGGTTAATAACATTCTGTCCTCCCGCTGCTTGTGGCAAGCATATCTTATCCCAAGACACAAGTGCTTTCCTAGAGATTTCTGCTTTTCCGTCCATAAGAATGTTCTGTAGGTGGCTTTAATCATTTTCAACACCTTCTTTGGCAGTAAGAATATTTGTGCCCAGTATGATTGTACACCGAAGATCACTGATTTTATGAGCTGTAATCTTCCTGAGTATGATAGAAGCTTTGATGTCTAACAACTTATCCTTGCAGTGATCTTTTCTACCAGTGGCCAGCATTGGTTAATTGACAACTTCCTTGATGCTAGTGGCACTCCCAGGTATTTGAGTGGCAATGTGCCCTCATTATATCCTAGCTCCTGCAAGATGTCCTCCTTCAGATTTGCAGAAATGCCAGCAAGGTAAATAGAGCTCTTGTCTACATTTGCTTGTAGTCCTGAGGCCTTTGAAAAATTCATAAAAGCATGTTGGAGCAACCTAATAGAAGGAAGGTCTACCATACAAAACATCAGCAGATCATCAGCAAAACACACATGGATCACTCCCAATTTTTTGCATCTAGGGTGGAAGTGGAACTCCTTGTTCAAAGCCAACTGGTCAAATTCCCTCTGTAGATATTCCATGGCAAGCACAAACGGATAAGGTGACATAGGGTCACCTTGCCTTTATTCCTCCTTAGCCTTTGAAGGGTTTAGTGAGCCCACGTTTCAGTATTAAGGAATAAGTGACAGTAGTTATACATTCTATTATCCACTCAATAAACTTATGTGGGAATCCCAGTTCAATCAGTAGCCTTTTCAGAAAATACCAATCCAATGTGTCATAGGCCTTCCTAAGGTCAACCTTAAGGACACACCTTGCAGGGATCCCTTTCCTGTTATAGCCTTTGAATAGTTCATGGGTGAACAATATATTATCAGTGATGCTTCTGCCTTCAATGAAAGCTGATTGAGATCCTCCTACCAGATGACCTATCACTTTCTTTAGTCTCTAGTGAGAACTTTAGTGATGATCTTGTATATAGTTGTGCAACATGTTATAGGCCTATAGTCCTTAACCTAGGTGGGTTGGGGGCTTTTGGGATCAGAGTGATAGCAGAACAATTGATAGCCTTGTGCATATTTCCTGTTTGAAAGAAGGCTAGCACATCAGCAAGCACATCATCTTTTACCTCCTCCTAGTGTTGAGTGAAAAACTCAATTGGAAATCCATCAACACCTGGTGCTTTGTCAGTTGGCATGCTTTTAACAACATTAATTATTTCCTCTATTGTGACATCCTTGATCAGCTCCAGTTATTGTTGTCTTGTCAGGAAGGACCCTTTCTTAATCACCTCAAAATTTGGATAGGGGAGAATGTGTGATGACTCTCCCATCAACTTCTTGAAGAAAGAGAGAAATTGGTCTTCTACTTGCTTTGGTTCTGTGATCCTGATTCCTGCATCATTATGAATAGAATGAATTGTGTTAGCACTTGTGCACATCTTCCATTGAGCATGGAAGTATTTTGTATTAGCATCTCCATATTGTATCCATGGGACTCGTGATTTTTGCCTTAGAACATGTTCCTCTATATTACTCCACTTTTCCACTTCCATTAAAGCTTCTTTCTCCTGTTCTATATAGCTTTGGCATAATGGTTGAAGGATATGGTATTGTGCTAGTTCCAATTTCTGTTTGGCTTGATTTAGCTTTTGTTGGTAAGAGGCCATGAAAGCATTTAACTCCCTTAGTGCCTCCTTAGCCTCTTAAGTTTTTGCCATGTTCTGGACAGCCCTGCATCTCCATAATCCTGTGCCCACACTTCTTTCACAATACAAAATCTGGATGGTGAAGTACTGTTTGATATAGCTTGAAGGGTCTAGGATGCAAGTTCTGTTGTTGAGCTACAAAATTGCATTTAAGCAATATAGGTGAGTGATCTGAAACTCCAGGATTCAGATACTCTGCTTCAATATGGCCATTGTCACGACCCAAATCCATGTCAGGCCGTGATAGCGTCCAGCACCGTTACTAGACAAGCCAACAGTGAACAACCTAGTGATTTCCTATTTTTAACTAGTCTTCCCATATAGAAATTTTTCCATAATTTAAAGATTGAATAAGAAACCGATTTAAGATAATAAATGGAAAACAGTTGCAAACATTTATAACCATAGGAACAGAACCCAAAAATCACTAGTCTATTAATGTGTGCCAAGATCTAGTGTCACAAGTACATGGGCAACTAGTAGAATATATAAAAGATATCTATCCTACTGCCTGAAATAGAATAGACAACAACAAAACAAAATAGACACTCCAACATGCTGCTGAACGACTTGGAAGGGGGCAGCTCACCGTGAAATCTTGAACCAAGATCAAGTATGCGTGCCAGACGGGTAACTAGTTGCACCTGCCTCAGATCCTGTACAATTAAGTATAAAAGTGTAGTATGAGTAGATAAACAATATATACCCAGTAAGCATCCAGTAAGGCAATCGGGGGGCCTAGGCCCAGGCCCAGGTTTCTACGCGAACGCGACCTTCGCAAGCGAACGCGAAGGCCAAAGAGTCCAGGCCTTTACGAGCGCGGCCCTGCTTATGTGAACGCGAAGGGCAAAAATGCCAGCCCCCAAATCCTTCATCGCGAACGCGAGGGTCCATCCGCGTTCGCGAAGAAGGAAACTATAAGCAGAAATCTGGTGATTTTTCAACTTGGCTTCGAGTGGTCCGAAACACACCCGAGCCCCTGGGGACCCCGTCCAACCACACCAGCAAGTCTGTAATCATATTACGGACCGGACATGCTCGAACTCACGAAATGCGTAAAACAACAACGAAACGAAGAATCATACCCCAAAACCGAATTGAATCAAACTTTGAACTTTAAATTTCCTAATTGTTCCGAACGCGCTGAATCATACTTAGACTACTCGAAATGATACCAAATTTTGCGTGCAAGTCTTAAATGATATTATGGAACTATTTCTGGTCTCGAAATTCCATTTGGACCTCGATATCACCAAAACCTCGTCCAAACCAAATTTAAAGAACTCATAAAACCTTGAAGAACCAACTTTCACTTTTTGGTGTCAAAACACTCTCAAGTCATCCAAAACCCGATCCGAAAATACGCCCAAGTCGGAAATCATCATACGAACCTATGAGAACCGTCAAATCCCAATTCCGAGGCCGTTTACTCAAAATGTTGGCCAAAGTCAAACTTGGTATTTTAAGCCAACCTTAAGGAACCAAGTGTTCCGATTTCAACCTGAACTCTTTCAAATCCCAAACTAACCATCCCCGCAAGTCATAAATTAGTAAAAATAAGTACGAGAAGGCTTATTTAAGGGAATGATATTCTAGAAAGTAAAATGACCGGTCGGGTCATTACAACCATAGTTCATCAGCCAATAATAATTCCCAAATGCCTAGTCTATCTTACTGTAAACTCTTGCATTGTCATCTCTTTTGTTACACCAAGTGTAGTACCAACCTTTGCTCTTCAAGGGAGTAAATTGCAATCGATCTAATAGGTCCTTGACGCCCTGGATCTCTGCCTGTGTTATAGGGGCTCCAATCCTATCCTCAGTATGAAGCACATTGTTAAAGTTACCACATACCAGCCATTCAGTTGTAATGTGAGCTCCTATAAAAGCAAGCTTATCCCATAGTTGTTGTCTATGCATCAAATCATTATTTGCATAAATCACAGTGAGTAAAAACCTTTTTCGACTACTTGGGTCCTCCACTTCACAATGGATGAACTGATCATGTACTTCTAATATTTGAAGCTTTATATGAGGTTTCCACAGTAGCCAAATACGACCATTATAAGAATGGTCATAGTTGTAATTGGCTTGCCAATTCGTTGCAATCTTCTGTGTAATCCTCCTAGCTTTATTCACTTTTACTCTTGTCTCAACTATCCCCATAATTTCAACTTTATATTTTTTCAGAAAGAGAGTCATCTCCTTCTGTTTAAAGGGCCTGTTAAGCCCTCTTATATTCCAGGTACTTATAATCATGGAGGTTTGAGGTGGTCAATACCACCCTCCCTTGTATCAGATGATGTATATCCTTGAGTCAGTACCTCAAATCTATTGGTACTTCTAACCTGGCTGGTGGAGCAGCTAGCTGTAGCTTGTTGTGCCTGATCTTCCAGTCCACCATCAACAATTCTTTTACCTTGGCTTTTGGATCCTTCTTTACTTATTGGCACTACTAATGCTGGGAATTCCTCCTCATCCAAAGTGGCCTTATAGCCCGTTTGGCCATCCTTCTAAAATCAGTTTATTTTGAGAAGTGTTTTTTTTCAAAAGTATTTTTAAAAAAAATGTTTTTGATAAGAAGTAGTTTGTGTTTGGCTAGTTAATTAGAAAAACACTTTTGAGCAGTAATTAGTGTTTGGCCAAGCTTTTGAAAACTGCTTCTAAGTGTTTTTTTCTCAAAAATGCTTCTCAGAAAAGTGCTTTTGGAGAGAAGCTACTTTTTTCTGCTTCTCCTCAAAAACACTTTTTTTCCTTCCAAAAGCTTGGCCAAACACCTCAATTTTTGGCCAAAAGTATTTTTGACAAAAAAAGCACTTTTGGCCCCAAAAAAAGCTTGGCCAAACAGGCTATTAGTCTCCTGTGGTTCAGTGGTAGTTTCCTTTGTTGCAGAAGTAGTTGGATCAGTGGTAAGGCTACTCTGGTCTTTTGCCACCCATTTAGTCACCACCTTCCTCCTCCTCTCACCTCTTCTATTCTTCCTTGTTTGCTCTACAAAACCATCATTTTTCTCTTGGGTCTTCCTCTGTCTACATTCCTCAGTAGTGTGCCCAACTTTTGATATTTTTAGTTTGAAAATTTACTAAAAAAACGATTTGGCTCAAATTTGGAAAAGTTTTCGGGGATTATACTCCCAATGACATACGCCTGAATGCCTGGAATGTCAGGGCTTGTGCTCCACGATACTTACGCCCCGCCAGTGTACCTCGGTGTATTTTTGGTGCGCCTCACCCCAAGGCTCAGCCAAAAAAACACTTTTTAAAACACTGTTTAAAATGAGTGAGTTGTGAGAAATTGCTAAGCCTCATAGCATTTTCGGAGGTCTACAATTTCGACCAAACCTTCATTTGTGGAAACTGTTTGATTAACTTTTAGACCATCCAGTCAATTTAACTCTAAACTGACCAAAATA